TTTAATTCAGGCTTAGAAAAATCACCCGAATGGATAGCTTTCTCTTACTCTAGTTTCTTTCTCTTCCACTTTGACACATGCTTAACAGATTACTCTAAAAATAAAATTTTTAAAACTATGTCATTCTCTGTTTAAAAATTTAAATACTTGCTATACATATAGGATGAAGTTTAAAATCCAAGATCTCATCCCCAGGCTGTTCCATAGTCTGGCTCAACTTTATTTAATTGATATTATATTCCATTTTGCATTGATTCTTATAAAATTTATTGACTGTCTATTCTGCATTGACATTGCAAATGTACATTTGCCTAACACACACAACATTAAAACCCACTTATTGAGCACTACATATTGCTGGGAGCTGCTCTCAGTACATTTCAGAAACTTGCTTCTTAAATCTTCAAAAGAACCTTCTGAGCTTCATCATCCTATGGAGTTATTAGCTCCATTTTGTAGGTGAGGAGGGTGAGGCACAGAGAGGTGAATTAACTTGGCTAGGCGTAGCCCTTTGGAATGTAGTAGAGGCAGGCTCTTAGCCCTACTCTAAATTGGCTCTTTAGAATTTACATCTTAATGTACTTCATGGATTTCTGCCTTTCCATCTGTGCCTTTGTAATTCTATCCTATCTGAAGCAGATACACTTTCTTTCGACTAGATAACTCTTTCTTGTATGTTGATCTTCAAACATAGATGCTTCTCTAAGGTGAGGCCACCTCTACCACTCTCACCCACTGTGGTCTTCCCCCTCGCTCATTAAGTTTAATGTTTGTATTAAACAACCCTTTTAAATTCATTTTCAAACAATTTTTCTGATATATTTTGCTTTATTATTCAGTTCTCTGGGATGTTTATATGCACTGTTTCCCCAGACTGTTAATTCATGGAGGACCAAGCAAACTGGTAGATTTCTGCATGACACTTATATCTAGGAAACAGTTGTATCTATAGTAAGAATTCACACAAAGATCATTGAATGGGACATTTATCCCAGTCCAAAACATAGACTTCTCCCACTAAAAATTATGTCTTCCTGTTAGTGCTCGCCTTATGCTTTCCCTTTCACTTAGAATGTCTCTCCACCTACCCAGAGCCTGATCAATTTGAGTTATCTCCTAAGGTTTAACATACTCTTCCTTTATGCAAGAAGCCTCCATGACACCCATCTTCAGGCAGGTTTAGTTGTTTATCATCTGTGTTCCCATAACATCTGATTCATCCTATTCTGTCATGATACATGGAAGGATGGGACTTCTTTATCTATTTCTACATCACTAGACCATGAACTCCCTGAGGACCAGACTGTGTCTTACTTAGTTTATATTCTCAGTGCTTAGGACAGTGCTGGTATGTGGCAAGTGATATTGACAGAACAAACAAATGAATGTATGAATAAACATAGCCTCCATGATAAGAAGCAAGATATAGAACATATGCATGAAAAAATATAAAAATATAAGTAATCTTATCTTACAATTAGATGAAAACTTCCTGATGGACAAAGATTAGCTAAAGCCATACTGCACCCTTATCAATTCGATTCAAGTTTTTGTTGTTGCTGGGGATTGGACCTGGGGCCTTATACATACTAAGGAATTATGCTACCACTGAGTTGTCACCAGAGTCCAATTTCAGTTTGAATACTGACAATGTGCTAGAAGTTGCCACCTAGAAAGTAATACTTGTATTCTCCTAACACCTTATGTATATGCCAGTTTAGTTTTGATAATTGGGATAGCACCTCTGGCCAGAGCACCTCAGCTCTATACCCTGAATAGTTTGCCTTTCATATTCTGGGGGCAGTTCTCCTCCTTCAAGCTCTCATCTTAGGCAGGCCTGAAAGGATGGCAAGTGCGTCTTCAATTTCTACTTCAAAAGTTGGGTACTTTCTAATTGCCGGGGCTGGGCAAGACAATTCTAGATGATTCTTCCAAGCCTGAGGTACGATTGTCCTATTTAATATACTAACTAAGCTGACAGCTCTGGCCCAAACCACCTCCATCCTCCTTGGGGACTGTCCATTGTTCTCTAGTGCATGATTAGCAGATTAGCGATGATGTAAGAAGCCAGGAAAATGAACTCCCAGTAAGCCCTTCCAAAGCAAGAGTAATTCATCACCCAGCCTGATTTCCACTTAAAATGTACTTTAAGTACACTTCCAACTACAAACTCTAAATCACCCTGTGTTCACAAAGTCCATCATTTTTTATTTTATTGCATGGCGTTGGCGTGACATAATCCCTTGCAAAGCATCTCGGAGTGCTTTACAGATCAATAAATTACTTACCTGCACAGCTGGAGCAATGTCTGCAAGGCCAGCAAGACATTCTGCAAGTAACCTGTCTTCCAAGAAGGAAGCAAGGTGTGTGGGTGCCAAAAACAGGCAGGAGCAGGGAGCAGGCAGATGTTTGGGTAGGTGGAAGAGTGCATGAGCAGGAACTGCTTCCATTAAAGCCTGTACATAAAATACATCAAAGTTTCTATTTCTGCAAGATCAGTTTAAATAATCTTAGAACAAAAATAATTTAGAAATTCCTAACCATCAGGAAGTCAGCAAATCAAACACTCAGTTATTAATTCATAATTACTTTTCTGTCCTGGAAGGCCCAATCTAGATCTTTAAGCGACACAGCCACAAATTGCAAAGTTGTGTCTTAACAGTTCCAGTTGTAGAGTTAAGAGTCCCTCTCAAACCCTCACCACAGATACTATTATTTCTGTTCCACCCAAATACCTTTAAAACTTCAGGTACATGGTAAACACACACACACACACACACACACACACACACACACGTGTGCACACACACACTCAATGTAGACCTAAACCTAAAAATGATTAGCTGATGCTTACTCTATTCAAGACACCTTCTTCAAGACAGCAGAAAGCTCATAATTAACATCTTATATCCAAATAATCTATGGAATAGAAGGAAAGGTGAGACAGATGTAAAATAAAAGAGTCCTACTTGGAAGTGCTGTGAAGGAGATAGTATAATGCTACCTGCTCAACAGCAAGGGGAGGTCCTTCCTCTTGGGGATCCTCTGAAATGCCATGTGGAAAGGGTGGTAATTCATCTAGGTCTCTGGCGATTCTAGTAGGTGTAGTCCAAGAAAAGCATGTAAGCACTGATGTCTGCAGTAAGAGACTGGGGATAAGGACACAAAGAAGCAGCACATGCTATGAGCCCTGAGTGTCCCCACTAGGAAGAATGTAGGGCATGAATGGGAGAAAATGTTGAGGATGGACAGAAGGAGCACTGAGAGAAGATACCTGCATCATACCACTTTTCATAGAGGCAAAGTGCCAGCAAAAGTAGAGGTGAGTGTGAGCAAGTGGTGCAATTAGAGGAAAGGTCAGTGTTGAGATTTCCAAAGCAGTATGATTTTAGTGACCTCACCACTCTGCTTTTGGATTGAAGAATAAAGTCATCATTTTGCAGCTTCCCTTCATTCACTAGCACATCAGTTGGCATTGTGTCCTGGGAGGGCAGTGAGCCTTGGGATTGCACACAGTGTTGGCTCCACAGAATGCATATGCAAGGAAGAAGGTAACATGAAAAAACATGAAATGGATGGAGAGGTCCATTAACTTGCCAAGAATGAAGCTGTCCAATCCAGTGTCGACAAGACTAAAATAATGTGTGCTAATGACACCACTCTGAAGCTGTGAGGAACGTGGAGAGGCTGGGAAAGTGGATACCTTGAATAGACATTATAATTCAACCTTATATACCTTTGTTGAGCTTTTACTGTAGACATAGGTAAACATATGAAAGGCATGGTTCAAAGTGTCAGAAGGCTTATGGTCTAGTGGGTGACTAATGCTATCGCTGTACCCTACTATCTAAAAATGGAGTTTGGTAGCTCAGTCAATCGCACTCTCTCACCTTATCCACTTGAATTATAAGCTGTTTGACAGATTAGACAAATGAGTAACCACACATAGAACCAAATACCACAAAGACTAGTGGTAAAGCTGATGCTGTGGAATTGGTCTTATAAATACAGCAATGATGAGCTTCTAAAACTGGGTCCAGGAGTGAGATGGGTGTACACAGGCAGTGTGGGCTGCAGAATAAACCCATCCCTGTGGGGTACTGTTTTCTGTACAGCAGGAACAAGGCACACAACAACATGGATGTACCAAAACAAAACATTACAGTAAGTGAGAGTCCTGCAGCCATCAGGATAAAAATGTCACATCTTTGTAAGGAGTCATTTAGGGTAGACAGACGGACAGACAAACAGAGACAGAGAGACCAGGTGTGTTATGGCTCACTAATGTTATTTTTTACTTGAAGAAGAAGCACTAAATCTGAGTTTTACATAGGGCCAAGAGTTGTAGGAGTGATGAGAACTGCAACAAAGAAAATGGCCTTTTAGTTGGGCTGTAAGGATGACTGGGAGCTTCCCAGGAAGCACGTGAAGAACAGTGGAGATCCACGTGCATGGTGACCTTGAAGGGCAGGATGAGACAGTGAGTAGATGCACAGAGTAGAATCCTTGGAGACGACCATGGGAGAATCTGCTGAGGCTTGAATCTGAATGGCCTTGTATACTAGGTAAGGAGCCTGGATTGATCAGGGAGGAAGCAGGGAGCAATGAAGCTGTTCAGGCAGTGATGTGCTGTGCTCAGAATTGCATTACATAAAGACATCGCTGAATGCAGTGAGAATGACTCGTGGCTGTGTGGTGGAAGTGGGTGGGGTGAGAGTGGAGATGGGATAAGGTGTAGGCTAGAGGAGCGGTTATTGCAGCATTGCAGTAGAATTTATTCCTGTCTGGACTCTGTGACTTGCTGTTTATATAGGAGGAAATGGAAGCTAAATTCAAGGTAAGATTTTTTCTTGTGTTTAAGGTAATTTCTAACTTCTCATCATTTATAAATGTAGTCCATATATTTCAGTCTTTGGGCTATTCTCAACTGTTATTTTAAGGCCACAGAAAAATGTATCAGCAGGATTCTTATTTTCCTTCTACCTGTTTTGTCTTCACAGTATCTCCCAAAATTGTAGAAATTTCTTCAGATATCTCCATTAATGAAGGGAATAATATCAGCCTCACCTGCATAGCAACAGGTAGACCAGAGCCTACAGTCACCTGGAGACACATCTCCCCCAAAGGTAAGAGGAACAGCTTGTGCACGATGTTATCAGAGGAAATAGGAGACAGGACCATGGACAGGAAGTGTTATGGCTGCGACTTAGAGGCGCCTGTTTGTGGACGTGATACACTCATGGCTCTGCAGAGAGTTTTGAGGTTCTCTTCAAGACAGTTGTGTCTTCTAAGATTTCAGAAATCCCACCTGACAATCTCTCTGATCCTTTGTAAGTTAATCCCAGTTGTTTCAGGGTAAAACAGTGGTTGAGATGCTCTGGGGGAACTTGACATGTCAAGTTTAGGAATGTGAGGAGCTGCTTCATGGGCATTGCTCAGCTGGCTGTTTTGAGAGACTGAAAACATAAACACACATTGATGGATGAGAGCTTGAATGCCCATATTCCGAATAGAAAAATTTCCTAGTCTGTGCCTCTTCAGTATTGTCAAAAATCTGACCATTAGTCTTTTTTGTGGTTTTGTTGTTGTTTTTCTCTGATCCTAGATAACAAATATAACTTAATGTGTGGCTAAATTGCAAAATTCATTTAGTTTCAATGTTCAGATGTTATGTAGAACAGACAATGTTTTGTGCTTTCAAGAACTGAATATTTAAACTGTTAGAATTTCAGGCAAGATGTTATTTGTCATTAAGCTAGCTTTTATTTGGAAGCAAAAAACATAAAATTATTTCATTCATTCTTAAGTATTTATAGAGTGATACAATAGCTCCAGCTCTTTTCTAGGCACTGGAGAATTTAGCAGTGAACTCAAACTGACAAATTTATGTTCTCATGAATTCATATTTTCATGAGACACATGATAAACAATAAATAAATGGGTGTACAATATAACAGGAGCAGGTAGGGCATGAAAATAGAGCTGTGTACATTGACCATATAACTTGGGGTTTGGGCAAGGGAGGACTCCAACAAGTTAGCATCTGAGCAAAGACATGAACAGAGGCCCTGAGTTTTGCTGCCTATCACTAGCTATTACGAATGTTTGTGTGTGATTGTGTGTGTGTGTGTGTGTGTGTGTGTGTGTGCATGTGAGCAGATGGAGAAAGTGTGTGTCCAGCTGGGCAGTGCAGGTTTGAGGAATCTAGGGGTACCATAGTGGAGGTGATCTGCTTGTTGTTACCTTCTCACTTGGAGAAAGTGATTGGTGTGAAACTTTATCTAAGGGTGCTCTTGGGATCAGTTATTTTAGAAAAGAATGGAGGGAAGGTTTGGCAGAGGGATAACCTGATCTGTGGTACAGTCCGATGGAACAGTAATGCTGAACCTATGGGGAGTTATGAAGCTGGGATAGCACTCCAGAAATGTACTCTATGGGAATACTGGGGCTGTCCCTTTGTATCAACATAGCAGCTCCTCACTCTAAATTTAGGCTGTCTACAAAAGGGTTATAACCTGGACCAAGTGTCTGTCTTCACATAAATGGACCCCTACAAAGGGCTGACAGGTAAAGACTATCCGCCAAAACCTGTCCTTCTCTGGGGCATGAGTCCTCCGTTCCTGAAGGTGGCAGTGCAACAAAGTACCCACTGCACTGGGGTATTCAAGAAAAACAGAGTAGGACTTCAATGGTCTTCAAATAGTGAGTTTCCTCTCTCCAGTAGCCGCAGTGTACAGTGATGGATGTTCTCAGAGAAGGCATGAAAGTTTTACTTGTTTTTGTCCTGAATTCTTGGGAGCTGTCCTAGGCCACTGTTATTGACACTATCCCTGTGAACAAAGAGATCAGTGAGAGCTACTCATTTCTAAGTCAGTCTCTCCATATGAAATGACCTTATGTGTGGACAGGCCCCAAATCTAGGATGTGGTATCTGCTGAGCACCCTATCATTGGTGATGCAGAATGGCCGTGGGCATTTCCAAGGAGTAGCCATTCTGAGGACAGACTCTAAGTCCACCATGCATGCCATTCATCACAGTTCCATGCAGAATGCCCAGTGTGTTGGTATCAGGGCAGTGTGTGAATTTTTGATCAATAGAAAGTTTATCATCTGGGGTAGATTTCTTTTGCCTAATGCCAAGAAACTAAGTCTGTGTCCTACTTGGTGTTTTTTCTTAATTCTACTGTCAAGTGGTAAGTTCTTTGTCATAGTTGAGTACCTTTATTTGTATACATTCCTTTTTATATATGTATTTTCCTTTATACTTTTTGGTTCTGTACATTTTTCCCTCTCACACCCTCCTTAGAGTCTACTTTAATTTCATTCCATTCTACATTGCCTCCCTCCCTTTACCCTTCTTTTTTCCTCACAATTATGTGTCATCTCCTCTCTAGGGCTGAGCCCCCTCCCTATGTCTTACTGATGCTCAAGCTGTTGTGTCTTGGAGTCCTTTTTTTTTTTTTTCCTCCCCTGTGCTGTGGGCATCAAGCAGATGCACTTCCCAAGGGAACGTTTACCTGAGCCTGGGCCAGATGCTGCCATTTTACTGAGGTTTTAGCTGCTATGGAAACAGACGATGGATCAAGGAGAGTGGGGTAGGGCAATCAGAATCTATCTGCGGATTAGAGTAATTTAGATGAACAGCTTTGTCCACATCCTGGGCCTGGATTAGCTCTCTGAGATTCAAACTGATGAGATATGCCATGCAATAACTAATCATCTCCAAACTCACTGGAGTTCTGTGTTCCCAGTGAATGATTATTTGGAGATCAGAGATGTCACTGGACTGCTGCCAAATCTAAACTGAAGATGGAGACCCTGAGCAGTCAAGCCTTCATCTTTCCCCACTAAATATTTCCAAGACAGTGCTTATTTTAAATAAATTAGGATAGGATTGTGTCTCCTCAGAGAGAAAGATGTTCACCTTTGCAGAGCCTCTGAAGCAGGGAGCTATTGTCATCTTTTCTCCCATTCCATGAAGTTAGAGAATTGTTCAATCAAGAAAACACACAGACAAGCACAGATACACACACACAGTCCCAGAATGAATAGTTGGTCAGGGCACTTCAGGTGATCTGATGACTTCATTGCACTTTTCATTTTCCAGACTGATTCGTTTGTTCTGCTCATTTCTGAAAAATCTTAGGTTCACCCATCATAACCCAGGGTGCTTCTTGCTATAAACTCATAATTAAAGAGTATTTTGAGCCCTGGCCACCCTGTGGGTGACAAAGAAGTAGAGAAATGCTGTGACTTCAGCAGTGGTTCATGAAGTTTGCTCCAGGAATGCCTAGGCATGGATATCTGGTGGGAAAGGTCAAGAGGCCTTTCCTGGGCCTCTTCATCAGATGGAGAAAATGTCATCTGTCCTTGGGAAGGACGGAGAGAGAGGTAGGAGCTTCCAAATGCTCTTTAAGCACTGTCATCAAGTTTAAGAAGTAATTCTCCAAATGTTATTTCTAGCATCAAACCTGTTTGCTCTCCTCATTAATGTAGCACTTCTAGAGTTCATGGAGAAGGTGCACCAGTGTTCTAAAGATGCCTGTCCTGCTCTGCACATCTGCTCTGGGGCATGCAGATGTTTGCACCTGCCAGGGCCTTAGCCTGTTCAGGAAGCAGAGCCCCATCTTACTGTCCCCAAAAGGAAGAGCTGTCTGCACAGGGTTTCACTGACACGTAGCCCAAGTCCCTGTGCGAGCACAAAGCTTCTGCTACAGGGATGGCATTGGTGGAGCCACAGTGTCTTTCAGAGACATGGAAAACTCTGTCTTGTTTTTTGTTTTTATGTAGGCATGCAAGAATGCATTTCAGTGCAACCCATAAATACTGGACATTCTGTGGTACATATTTAAGGCTGTCTCTTCTTCTAAGTCTTTCCTGATCAAACAAATATATGAGTTCTTTCCTTGACTCCTAAAAGATACAACGCAGAGGGACTACACCCTTCATAGAAAAGAACTCTCTAGCTCTGTCACTAGATTCCATTGGATGGTAAGATCCCTATATTGTAATGTTCATAGCAGGCCATCAGAAAGCCCAGGTAACAGAATGGGCCCAAGCATTAATCCATAGGTTTCTCTGCATACTTGGAATTAGGGAGCAGTGAGTGGTTGAATGGGGTGCCCGCTGTGGTGCTCCTGCTTTTGCCTTTCCCCCTTCAAAACTGACTGTCAGTGTCATCCATGTCTAGGCTGCCTGGAGATTCCTTTGGTGCTAGTTGAAGGATTCAGGATCCCAGAGGTGTCCTGCTTGCTGATTCATTTTCCTCACCCTGTCCTTTTAGTTCTTTGAGGTCAGAGCCTGTGCCTCATTTATCTTGGATTCTTCACGTTTTAGCAGAATGCTGAGCAGCTAGAAAGCATTCACGGAAAAGTTGTTGCTTGGTGAACACCTGTGATACTGGCCAGTGCCCAGGGGTCTGCTTGTTCTCCCAGTGCAGCCTCCATCCTGCTCCTGGAGGGATTCTTCTCATTGGTGTTGCAGTGAAGACCTATTGTGTTTCCTGTTCACACTCTGCTGGTGAGGTGCTAGCACACCCTCTCTGGTCTTCACAGTTCTCCCAGCCTCTCCTGAAGGATCCCCCAGGGGATCTGCTGTGGTGAACTCAGGTTCTGCTTGAAGGAGAAGCTCCTTCTCCAGTTCACTTGTGCAGAAATGGAGAAGGCTGATAAGTGGCTTTCACGGTGGGTATTCTGAGAGTCCCATACTGTCAGTCATGACTCCTTGCCATCTCTCTGCTGAAGTGGTGCATTTCCCAGCCATGCTCTTCACATGCCCTTCCTGGGCCACCTGCCCTTCATTGCCTTGCTCTTCTATGTGTCTCCCAACCAGGGTTAACTAGAGCAATCCTGGATAATGAAATGGAGAGTTAGTTTAAACATATGTGGGAATTTGTTGTTCCTCATACTTTTAGAAAAAGAAATAAATTAGAAGAAAAATATTATTTTAACACCCTCCCACACCCCCACCCTGCCTCTGTGTAACTCCCAGTATGTGAATACAGGTGAGCTGCAGACTGAAGATTTGTGTCAGGATCATATAAAGAGCCTGAAAGCAGAATCAGGCAGAACTTGCTTCCACTGTGTTCTGAACCAGGCGCTGGTAATGGTAGCCTTTCTCTGTACAT